TCTCAAGTACACAGGTCCAGTACTATGAAGGGCTTTATAGGTGATAAGTAGCATCTTGAATCGCACCCGGAGATCAACAGGCAGCCAGTGCAGCTCGCGGAGGATAGGTGTAACGTGGGTGAACCGAGGTGCACCCACAATCGCTCGCGCGGCAGCATTCTGGACTAGCTGAAGTCGCCGAATGCTCTTCAAGGGCAGCCCCATGTAGAGCACATTGCAGTATTCCAGCCTAGAGGGTCACAAGGGCACGAGTGACTGTTGTGAGGGCCTCCCGGTTCAGGTAGGGACGCAACTGGTGTACCAGGCGAACCTGGGCAAATGCCCCCCTGGTCACAGCTGACAAATGATGTTCGAATGATGTTAGTGAATCACTTCAATTGTTAAATTAGTAACACCCTTGTTAAATGAATCTGGCTTTCCCATTAATTTTGCTTGTCAGAAGATTGCAAAAGGTAAAATCACATAATCCCAGGATGCTGCAATGTCATAAATAAGAGTCAGTTGCCAAGCTCCTAAATTTCGATCACATGACCCTGGGGATGCTGCAACAATCATAAGTGTGGAAAATGATCATAAATAACTTTTTAAAATGCTGTTGTAATTTTGAATGGCCATTAAATGAATGTAAGTTGAGGACTACCTGTATTTAAAAATGTGGTTAGATTAAAAACGAGACCTTTATGTAGGCATCATGAATGCCTTCAAATTTTGATGCGTAAATCTTTGATGTATATCTTTAAGACAGCAGCCCAAATTAAGAATCATAGCAAAACTGATACATAAAAAGAATGACCTGAGACTCCAGCCCAGGTGTGTCAAACTCATTTCATTGAGGACCACATCAGGGTTGTGTTTGACCTTGGGGGCCCAGGGTGGGCGTGGCCAAGGTGGACATGCCAGCTCAACATCACTCGTGTTAGGAGTGCCTGTGTTGGCCTGAGTACTCTGCCAACAAAAACAGGTTCCCAATCTACACTTTTGGCTGGGACAGCCTTCTGCAACTCTCTGCCAGTGAAAATGGAGCTTAGAAGGGCCACACACAGCCATCTTGAGCTCCATTTTCACTTGCAGAGACACCATGGGCCAGTCCTTTGCTATTTCCAGGGCAGTCCCGTAGGCCAAATCTAAGCACCCTGTGGGCCGGATCCGGCCCGCAGGTCTTGAGTTTGACACCCCTGCTCTAGCCTGTTTTTTGCAAAAAGCAAGGTATTTCACAGAAAGCATTAAACCATGTTTTTTTCTGCTTTGCACATTTTTCAGAAGCAGCAGGCATGTCTCACTTTGAAAGCAAAAGGCTACTATTTGGCTTAATGGCAGGAGCTGCTGGAGTAACATTTCTCCTGTGTTGGTATCTCAAGACAAACAAACGCAGCAAAGGTATGCATTTGCCTGTATTTCCAAATTCAGCCAGCGGTTTTGATTTAATAGATTTTCCACATGAAACTCACCAAGAGGAAAGGACAGTTTTGGTGTTACAAGGAAGACAGCTTCAGATCCTGGAGAAATTGAATGGCTTGGTGGTAAGTGTAGAAGAACTTAAAAGAGAATTGACATTCCTGAAAGAAGCTATTCCAAAGTTGGATGAACTTGTTCGAGATGAACTTCAAGGAAAAACAGAAAGTCGCAGAACCAGCCCTTCGCATAGGCTTGCAAAGAAGCGAAAGACTGAGGCAGCAGCTCAAGGCTCGTCTGATACCACCAGTTCTGAAGACGCTGAAAGTGAAGGCGGGTGGGTATTTTGAAAATATGTGGAATTGTGTTAATGAAATGCTTAGTTTATAAAAGATAAAAAGTCCATAAAAGCAAGGTACATTTTATATATAATTTTTATTAATTTTTAAAAAGGAAGATGAAAAACTAATACAAATTAATATAAGAAAAAGAAATAAATAAAACAAAGATAAAGGTGCAAGAAAGGGAAGAAAGTAAAAGAAAGTAAAAGAAAAATAGACAAGAAAAGAAAAAGTTACAAAGAAATAACTTCCAGTTTTGTTTGCAGCAGTTAGAAATACAATTATAATTTTACTTTATACTCAATGTTTACAACGTAACTCTCTTCTTTCTATAATCTACCCTGTTTAATCATCAAAACCATAAGTCATAAGTTCATTTGCTCCTGTTTCATGCAAAAGGTTTACAAAGAGTTTGCATTCAGCAAGGAACATAGGCATTGTCTTTTCTGTGATCAAATAATTCAATTTAGCTATCTCAGCAAGTTCCATCATCTTCACCAACCATTCCTCCATTGTGGGTTGTGTCGCATCTTTCTATCATCATGCGTACAATAATCTCACTGCAGTTATGTAAAAAAACAAAAACAAAGTTCCATAACCTTTTTCCCCAATTGTTTTGTCCATCGATCCCAAAAGAAAAATTTGTGGTTTCAGTTGCATATTTCTTTTTAATCCTCTTAGTAAAGTGTATGTATTTGTTCTAGCTTTTTTTTTTACATGTTCATCAAACATGTTCAAGATTGATAAACAGATTACTATTCATTGATGTGGAAGGCCAATATGCTAGGATTCTGCCACTCTCTAAAGAGGAAAGTCGAAGCAGCTGCACGAAGAAGAGATGCTTGGTTGACCCATAAGGACTGTCTTTACCAATGCAACTACTATTTTATCTTCTTTATTTATAATCTATAAGCTATACAGCAGTGGTGGGATTCAAAAATTTTTACTACTGGTTCTGTGGACATGGCTTGGTGGGCATGACATGGCTTGGTGGGTGTGGCATGGCTTGGTGGGTGTGGCAAGGGAAGTATACTGTAAAATCTCCATTCCCT